AATTTAACTATTCTATTATAACTTATACATTTATATAACTTTATAGTTTACAAGATACATTATCTAATTTTATTCTTAAAATAATCTTGAGGTAACTGTTATTCCCATTTTATAGATGATAAAATGGTTATGCAAAATGACATGTGAGATTACATAGCTAGGATTCAAAAACCCAAGGCTGTTGATTCCAAGTCTAGTGACTTTCCGTTATACCACAGGACAGAAAAAGCTTTCCATTCCTGATATTCATTTTGTCTTTGAGAGAGTAGAGTGATTAAACAAATCTAGAAGATAGGAAACCAATGTCAGTCAGTACTTATCTCTGGGAAGCTGGATCCTAGGTCATGTTCTCTTTAATATTAACTTTCCTCTATTCCTTCTTCATAGGATCAGTATAACTGGATGAGCTTTGTCTGTATTGTGGCCATCCTGATCTTTGTGGCCTTCTTTGAAATTGGACCAGGCCCCATTCCCTGGTTTATTGTGGCGGAACTCTTCAGCCAGGGACCCCGCCCCGCTGCAGTGGCAGTGGCTGGTTGTTCCAACTGGACCTCCAACTTTTTGGTGGGACTGCTCTTCCCCTCAGCTATAGTAAGTAAATTAAAGTAAAACTCCAGTTAGCTTATCTTGAAACCAGCCCACTTAAGCGGACATGTTTAAGATGGTACTTAATAATGATCACCAATGCCATGAAGGATTAGATATCAAGGGCTTTTTTTTTTTTCTCCTCATTTTAAATGACATATATATAGAAAAAGAAGAAATGACAGCAGCAGAAAAGATTGAAGCGGGAGGGCAAAGCTGGGAACTTCTAAAGGATCACTAGTCTGAAAATGATACAGGCATAGTTCTGCCTAGAAACAGAATGGTAGTGGTAAGCCTCAAAGGATTCCAAACCAATACTGAATACTTGATCATGGCTTCATGATTTTAAAGGCTCACTAAGTGTAGGATGTTAGTGAATCAGACAGCTCTTGTTATAAAATGACCTAGAACTGAACTTGGCAGTGGACATTTAGAATGCATTTCCTATTTCTGTGAGTCTTTCAAAAAACCAAGATCTTATAAATATTGAAAGTCCTAAAATAATTCAATAATATTTGAAATAGCTAACTTTAATGACTAGGAAGGGAAATACCATGAAGAAAATTACAGAGAAATACAGTAAGTTAGCAATGGAATTGAAAACAAATCTCTGAAGAAACCTTGTTTTCATTAAATATGGGAGGATTATGGCTTGAAGCCTATTGGAAATCTGGATGAGAAGAAAATGGAAGTTTGTCAATGATTAGATTTTAATATTCACTCTCCTTGTCTCTTTTCCCTAGAGCATTTTAGGGCCCTACGTTTTTATCATCTTTACTGCCTTCCTTGTTATCTTCTTGATCTTCACCTTCTTCAAAGTTCCTGAGACCCGTGGCAGGACTTTTGAAGATATTACACGGGCCTTTGAAGGGCAGACGCAGGAGATGAGTAGATCTGGGAAGGACCCCGTTGAGATGAACAGCATCCAGCCTGAGAAGGAGACCACCACCAATGTCTAAGTCATGCCTCTTTCCCACCTCCCTCCAAACATGGAAAAGAAAACCTCTCCCTGAATGAGGGAGAGACCTCATCAGGATGTAACCCAGGACTGTTTTCTGAATGCTGCTACTTGATTCCTTTCTCATCCCACATACTTCATGAGCACTCAGATGAAGCCAATGTTGGGGTTAGTTGTATCTTCAATGGCTTTATTTCTTGGACATTCTCTTCTGTTTAGGAGAGACCAAGTGAACCTACCTTCATTTCAGGAGGGATTGGCCACTTGGCATATGACAATCTTGCCAGCTTTTCCTCCCTTAGGTTCTAATATTGCCTCACTTGGGCATATTGGGGAGTAGGAGTGAGGTTGCAGTTCCCCCAACCTCAGACTTACCAGGAAGGGAAGTAGATATATTTAAAGTATAGAGGGCAGAGAGGGATTAAATAAGACAGCAACTTCCTCACTTCCATATAGCTCTGCAGAGCAAATTGACTTGAGTTTTATTTATTTTATCTTCTGGTTTTATTGCGTAAATATTTATTTTTTTAAATGTAAAGAAATTTTACCAAAATAATGGAAAACAAGGAAATCTAGGTAGAGGGAGGTGTTTAAAGAGAGGTTATAGAGTAGAAGAAGATTTGATACTGGAGAGGTTAAGGTTCAATAAGAAAGGAAGAATTTAGGGAGAAATCGTAGCATAGTGCATTATTGAAGGGTATATGAAGTGGTGCCTGAGGTTTGTATGCTGCCTCTTAACAATTTCTGTCCTTCAGATGGAAATTCTCAAGACTGATTTCTCAGAAAAGTCATGTGCCTATGTATAAAAAGCTAGTGGTTTCCTTTGGAATTTTTCTGTTTAAAATTATAGTTTATATGCAGTATTACTTGAAATCTAGGATTGTTACTAAGATGGGCATTGTAGTTGATGGCAGTTGATGTGGTCTAATCTTGGGGTGGAGTCCAGAGAAGGGAAGTTTATTTCTAGAAATCCTCTCTCCCTTCACTGAACCAAATCATTCTTTCCCCTTATAAGTAGACTCATATTTTTCAAATACTCCCACTACCCATCTGGTGGGAGAGGCCTCCAAGTGAGACACTTACAGTATTGGTTCTTGATAAAGTATTTCTCCATTTTCTTCTTTAGGGGATTTTAGTTGTTGATTTCTTTATTTTGTTTTAATCCATAGCTTTAAAGGAATTTGCAGGAGAATATTTATAACTAACTTGAATTTGTAACCTCAGCTCTGGGAGAGGGTTTTTCCTGAATGATTATTATCTAGTTTGTGTTGTTGCTTTAGGGTCATGGCATGCTTGTCTATGTCTGTTTGATCACTTTTCGGGGACTTGAATCTTCCAATAGACCACACTTGAGATAGTCTGAATATATGTGCAGTGTAGCCCACACTAGAGAGAGTATGAATGTCTGTGCACTGTCACTTTGCTCTGGGTGGAAGTAATTTATTGGTAACTTGTTTCCTCTATGTTCCTACTGCTTACCTTTGGGTAGAATGTATTAAATCACATCCCTGTGTATATAGATAACACTGCCTCTGCTGGGTGGAATTTGCATCTTTGGTTTTCTCCCAGTCTTTAGAGTTCAGTCTCATCTGGCCTTCTTTCCTTGGAGAGTTGGGAAAAACTTCTAAATCCTGAGGTTGAGGATGGAGGGCATAGCCTCACTCTGGGCTCAGACAGTGAGAGTAGGGAAGAGAGTGTGACATCAGGGTACCCGGGCCTGAGAAGCAGGGGAGAGAGGGAGGCAATCTTTCAAGGGGATAAGAAGCAAATGGAAGACTTGCTTCTAGTCCTGGAGAGTTTCAGAGGGTTAGATGTGATGGAGGGATTTACTCTTGTCACAAGGTCATTAATGCCTCTACAATCATCTCCTCTTTTGCCGGTATTTTTATAAAAGGAGATTGGACCCTGATAACACTCAGTGTCTTTCCATTTTTCATACATTGTTTGATCTCCCTTTCCCTCCTTGGTGCTTACACATTACAAACCCATTAGCCAAAACCCTGCCTATGACAGTATTTTAGTTCTCAGTTATCATTCCCTCTGGTCATTGAGCCTTTGGGTAAAAACTCATGTTAACTATAGAGTGGGGCTCTGTTGGAAGAGGTGACTTCCCTGTAATCTCACTGCACCTCTACTTCTGGCCCCTCAAAGACAGTGGGTTGACAGTAATGCAGCGTGGAAGGTTTCTCATTTCTCAGTGACCAGGTTGTGAATATTTCCAAATGGATTTTTTAATTATTAATGTTACTGTGGTTCTTCTGTTTTGAAATAAAAATGGTGAATGTACATATGACATCACAGACTCCTTACTGTTTCTGTCCTCCTGTAACAACAAAATCAGCTTTAAATCCTAGTTTGGCCACTCATTACCTGTTGTGACCTGGAACAAGGTTCTTAGTCTCATTTAATGCATATGAAAATAGAAGTACCTGTTTATTATGTAGATTAAATGGGAAGTTAAAGCCTTAATAAATTGCTTTGCCTATTTAATAAATTACATTGCTTCTCCCCCTCCCCCCCATGAGAATTAGCTGTTATTCTGCTTTTCTCCTAAGCTTTCCTACTTCCTTTCTCCTCCAGTCTTTGCTCCCTCAAATTCATCCATATGTCAGGGTGATCCATAAGGCATATATGTCACTATCCTACTTAAAACCCTTCAATAGCTTCCAGTCAACTGCAAAATGAAACTTAAGCTCACTAGCATATCACACAACCCCTGCAGGGCAAGATCCCTGTCACCTTTTCAGTTTGATTTATCATTTCTTAGCTCCCATTTATATAAAAAATACCTCACATCCACTACTACTTTCACTCTTCTGCTTTGGCTTATGTGGTTATCTAACACTCATTCGCTACCTTTCCATTCACTTACTAAAAATATTTGCCTACCTTTTTTACTTCTAGGTAGCTCAGGCATTAGCTCCATAAAGCCTTCCTTATTCTCAACATGTTCCTTACACTCTAGTACTGTGGTAGGTGTTAAAAGGAATGAGAGGATGAAACATCTTTGTTCTGAAAGAGCTTCAGTAAGTACACCATACTCCCCATAATTGTGGTTATCGTCTTGGCTCCCTTTTCCACCTTTGCTCCCTTAAAATGCATTTTCCATAAAACCAGAGTGGAACTTTTAAAGTCAAATCATGTCACTCTCCTTCTTAAAGCCTTCAAATTGTATCATATCACACTTAAATGAACATCCAGACTCCTTACCGTGACCTATAAATAGGGCCCTAGTGGCTCAGTGGTTAAGAGCTGCTAACCAAAAGGTCAGCAGCTCGAATCCACCAGCCGCTCCTTGGAAACCCCATGGTGCAGTTCTACTCTGTCCTACAGGGCCGCTATGAGTCAGAATCAACTAGACGGCAAGGGGTTTGGGGTTTTTTTTATAGGTCTTAATTTACTTCTATTGTCCTGATATGATTAGTATTCTGCTTTCATTCATTCTCAAAGTGCCCTGATGATAAGTTATGGTTAAACCAGAAAACAACAGTTGCCATTGAGGCAATTCCAACTCATGGCAACCCTACGTGTGTCAGAGTAGAACTGTGCTACATAGAGTTTTCGATGGCTGATTTTTTGGAAGTTGATCACCAGGGCTTTTTTCAAGATACCTCTGGGTGGACTCAAACCTCCAATCCTTGCACCACCCAGGGAGTCATGTTATGATTACCCTACCTGGGACGCTTGCCTCTTCAGCTTCATCTTGTTAAATACTCAGTATTTGCTCACAGAGGTCTAGCCCCCGTGGTCTTTAGTTCTCATGTACATCAAGTTCATTATCGCTTTTTGCACTTGTCTCTTTGTCCTTGGAATACTCTGCCTCAAAGTTTTACATGGCTGACTTATCTTGTGAGTTATGTCTTAGTTAACAACCTCTGTAGAATTTAAGCTCCATAAAAGCAAGTACCTTGTCTGCCTTGTCTGTGGATATATCTCTAGTGCCTAGAACACTGACACTGCTTATGTAAGTGTATCAGTCTGGGTCCTATTAGAAGACAGAAACCACACATTGACTTAAACAGGGAAAGTTTCAAGAATATCAAGCAATAATAAAGAGTGAAAGAGAAAATATGATATCCTAGGGCTGAAGGAGAGTATCCAAGGAAGGACAAACTTGGAAGAGAGGCCACGTCCCCAAGCTGGGGTTCAGACCTCACTGGAGAATGTGAATAGCAGAGAAGTTTGCTGGTTTGGGCCAGAGGTGGTTTACAGTCACTAGACAAGCAGGAAACAACTCAGGGTGAGCTGCAGCTGGTGGCCAGACACATGGGTGTGTAGAGGGAGTGAGGGTGCCAAGGTGGGTAGGAAGGCTGAAGCAAGTGGTGTCCCTCTGGAAAGCAATCACTAGGCTAGGCCAGGGCTGCAAGACTGCTGAGGGACTTTGCATTCTGGGTGCATGGCTGGGGCAGACCACCAAATGCCGTCTGACTCACACTGTCCACCTGCAGGGGAAGCCCCTTCCTCCTGGCCTATCCGTCCAGAGCCCTCTACCGAGAAAGCTTAACGTTGTGCTTATTAACGCTTTAAAAAAAGAAATGCTTAAAGGAATTCCATCCATTACCACAGAGCAGGTATTGAAGGGTGAATCTGGAGCTGACAGGCAATACACCGATAACTGGCACAGTTAAGAATTTGTTAGACAGCTGGATGGATGAAAATGGTCCTTGGTTGAGAGTATTTCCTCCTTCCACACTTTCCAAAGCTACCTGCGTTTTCGATAAAATTCAAGTTGAAATCTGTCATTCTTTTTTTTTGAACCTTAAGTGTTTAATGCAGAAATCTGGCCTAGGTTCCAATCCAGTGGCCTCTGCTGAGCTTTGCAGGGAGGAGAGCAGAGATGGGGTGGAGGGTGGGGACAGGGCTGCCCTGGGGCGGGTGAGACAAGGAAAGGGTAGAGGAGTAGGTCGGGGCCTAGGCCTCAGAACTCAGAAATTATGTTGCGGTCCAGGCTGCACGTGAGGTAGGGGCTTCACCATGCAGTCACCATCACCATGGAGAACTTGAGCTGTCAATTCCGGAAGAGAGGCACAAACGAATCACCTAGTAACAAATCTGTCTCCTTGATCAGGGCCACAGCTGCAGCCGAGCCGCTGAAACTGAGGGTCCCGCCAAGCAGCTATCTTCCTTCTGCTTCCGGTCGCCGTCCTGCTCCCGCCGCTGCCGGTTGCCGCCCCAGCAAACACTGAGCCCGCCCGCCACTCTAGGGCGCGCAGCTCCGCCAGCCCCTTGCCGGGCCCTGCGTCCGGGCGCGTCGGCTCCCATTCCCCAGCCGCCCCAAGAGGCGCGGCCTCACGCGAGGCAAAACCGCAGACCTCGCAAAAGGCGCGGCTCGACCTCCTGCGAGCAGCCTTCACTGCGCAGGCGTGGGATGCTGCTGAAATCTGTCTTCGTTTTGTTCAGGATCGTTAAATGCATTCTTTGCTATAACCTAGGATGTGTTTGGAACCCAGCATACTTTCAAATGGAGGTATTGCCCGTCTTTTTTATTCTGAAGTGAATTTAAAATTAACTATCCTTCTTGGATTGCTCTAGGCTTTGTGGCTTAATTGGATAAGACTGAGTCATTTGAGTTGAGAAAGATTTCAGAGATTAAGTTATTAAATTCAAATCTCATTTTTTACAGGAGGAAACTGAGCCCCCGAGAGATGAATAGTTTCCCAGTGAATCTGGCAAAGCTGGAAGTAGCACCCTTGTCTCTCTCTTTTAATATATATTTTTTAATTTAGCATCTTGTTAATGTATGACCTATTCAGAATCAAAGAATACAGCAAACGAACATTCAGTACAGGTTACAGGTGAGTAAATAATGATGTGATACAAGCAATACCGGCTCATCCACAGGCACAGAAGTTCCTGGGCCTAGAAGACATGTTACTTAGGGGGCCAAGGAAATGTTTTTATTTATTTTAAAATCAGAAGAAAAAAATGAATGGATTATATTCATTGGACTGTATTAATTTGCAGTTGGAAAATATAATTTTTAACATTTTCCAAAATGGAGAATGGGCACATGATCTCTCTTAATTTTAATGTGGTAACACACATAACAAAACATTTGCCATTTCACCCATTTTTATGAGTACAATTCAGTGGCATTAATTACACTCACCACATTGTACAATCATCACCACTATCCATTTCCAAATTTTTTCATCACCCTTAACATAAACTACGTGCCCATTAAGTAATACTTCTCCCTTTCCTCCTCCCATCCACCCTTGGTAACCAGTAGTAAACTTTGGTCACGTGCATTAACATGTAAGTGGGATCATACAATATTTGCCACCCTTGTCTCTTGGCCAAATGCACAATGACTGGAATAAAGTTAAGTAGCCAGCAAGGTATAAGGGTGCCAGTTTCTACACACTCTTACCAGAATGTTTTATTGTTAAACTTCTTAATCTTTATCCATCTCAGGTCAAAAGGCATACTTTTTCTTTGAGTTTGTATTTTTAGTATGAGATTGGACGTTTTTTCACATGGTTAAGAGCTCTTTATATTTCCTTTTCTGTGAATCATTTGTACGTATCAGAGGAGGAATTCCACTCCTAGTTACTTCCCAAGAGAAATAAAAAATATGTCCACACAAAAACTTGTGCATAAATGTTCATAGCAGCATTAGTCACAATAACCCAACATTGGAAAAAACTCAAATGTCCATCTACTGATGAATGGATAAACAAAATGCGGTGTATCCATAATCCATATAACAGAATATACATATGAATATACAACTGAATATAATTTGGCTGCAGAGAGGAATGAAGTACATTCTGTGTGTGCTATAATATGGATGAACCTTGAAAACATTATGCTAAGTGAAAAAAGCCAGTCACAAAAGACCACATATTACACAATTCCATTTATATGAAATGTCCAGAAGAAGCAAATATATGGAGATAGAAACTAGATTAGTGGTTATTTAGGGCTGGGGGGATGGGACACAGAGGGCCAATAGCATAATGTTTTCAAAGGTTTATCCATTCATCATTTGATGGACATTTGGATTATTTCCACCTTTTTGGCTATTGTGAATAATGCTATTATAAACATTACTGTACAAATTTTATCTTGTTTTGGTTTTGAGCCCTGGTGGTACAATGGTTAAGCACTTGGCAGTTTGAACCCACCAGGCACTCTCCGCAGAGAAAAAAACCTGGTGATCTGCTTCCTTAAAGATTTCTACCTAGGAAACCCTATGAAGCAGTTCTGCTCTAACAGGGTGTCTGTGAGTCAGAAGAACTGTCAGACTGTTTTTGAAAATGACTGCACCATTTTACATTCCCACCAGCA